CACACACACACACACACACACACACACACACACACATTGCTCCAAGCTGCTGCGGAGGATGCAGATGTCCACTGAGAGATCCATCTCTGCGAAGAAAGGAACCTGACCAAGACTCTCAAGACTCTGCAGCGTGACACAAAGAGATGAACAGGTTTTTGGGGGAAGCATGTGAAATCCTGTCCTGCAGTAGAAATCATATCTCTTGGCTCTTCCCTTTTACAAAGAATCTGTTCTGCATGTTCACAGGACAGACGTCTATCCATTACAAGAGCATAAAGCCGGTAACGGCTTGACCGTTGCGGTTGTTGTGCTGAGCTTGGATCTTAGCTTTCAAGTGGTAATGGAATTTGACGGCTCGGGGACCCCTGAAATTCCCGGAAATTGGCGCGCCTGTACTCCGCCGAACTCTGCTGCATGGCTATGATGAAAGGGAGACGAAGGGGCTGGAATTACAGAAGAGGCTGGGAAACTTGGTACGGCGGAAGCAGTACATGCTTGTAAGCCCAGCCCTCGCTTTCAGGACTGAAAGTATACATTGGCTTTAAATGAGGGGCTGTAATATGGCATTTAAATGAAAAACAACGAAATATTACATAAAAGCTGACCGTAATAATTAAGATACATTATACTACAGATACTACTATACTCTGACATATTACAGATAATACTATACTCTGGTATATTACGGATAATACTATACTCAGATATATTACAGATAATACTGTTTGCATGTATTACCTGTGGAGGCATTGACAGTCCCTTTTGGATACTCACCTCTACCTGGACCTCAGAGGGTAATACATTATAATGTATAAAATCTGCCTAATCTGCTTCTTTTCTGCTTTCCTCTGTAAGAAATTGTAATATAACTTTATTTAGGCAACTGGACTCAGTGGGGGAAGGAGGGGGGGGGATCCAATAAGAAGATATAACTCAGCCCTCAGGAGGAGGCCTGCGAGATGATGATGGGGGCGGAGATGCCAACTGCACACGAGGAACGTGTCAGCCTGAGATCCGCTGAGATTCGCTTGGACAGATGCTGCTGTGTCATAGTTCCCTGACCAGTACTGAAAAGCTGAGAACCCTCTCAGTGATGTGAATGGCTACTGTATATACCAATAGCGCACAGCTACATCACATACACATTCAAATTCACACATGCAATAGCTGAAAACCATACGCCGAATGCAACAAACCAGAATACATACCATGATTAAATCATGCTGTGAAGACGTAGGATCTCCTTTGGGTTTTTGGAATGCTTGACATGGAATATTGTGAACAAGGCGAGCGTGTCGGCTGAGATCGAGCTAAGACAAACAAATATACGTTTATTTGTTATTTGTGTGGCTTTGATTTAATATGTGGTTCTTGGTAAAAATGGGGTAGTGCTAGAAAAGTTTTTTTTTATTTGTCTGTCCATCCATCCATCCATCCATTTTCCGTCCTTTGCAGGAACGCGGGGGACTGGAGCCATGTTTGAATTTGTTTAAATGCTAAATTCAATAATCTAAATATTTTTATGAAAATGTCACAGGTTGCACTGGGAAATATTGATATATGATTCTGCCAAACACAAATTTATAATGTTATATTGGGCTTGAGAAAATATACTGAATTCCTGTGCTGGACCGTTTGTAAGACTAGATGGAGATTCTGCGGTTTCTGGACAGTCCATCCTGATCTCCCACTAGACACGCATATACAGGTGAGAGCAACGCGAGGCTCAGGACACAGGGTCAGCCAAGGGGCCCCTGTAATGAGGAGCGGAGTCTCTAAATTGCCCATAGGGTGTAATATGTGACCCAGAATCCTGTGCAGGGTTCCTCCTGCCTCCTGTCCTGCGGTTCCTGAGATAGACTGCAGCCCCCTGCATTCCATAAGCAGTTAGAGGATAGATTGATATACAGCACAAGAGATGCTGAGCGCTGACACAGTCCAAACCAGAATGTGAAGTATCCGAGATTGTTACTACCTATTACAGGACAGCGAAAACATAATAATGCTGAGATTAGTGACTCCTAAAATATAAACACTTACATTAAAAAGCCACAGGATTGGTATACCTGAAATTGAAGTTGTATGACACTAAAGACTATAGCGCAATGCACGTCAATGAGAGGTATCCCCTGCTTAACTACAAAAAGAGCTGTAAGAGGATTACTTCAGCTATGTAGTGCCAATGCATTATTCGTAATGCTTTGGGTCACTTAAACCAAATCATAAAAGAATACATTGCGATTGTGGTTATTAGCAGAGGTGGTAGTTAGCCATGGGTTTGGGGGCAGCGTGTGGCTCAGTGGGCTAAGCCTGTGTGCTTGTGATCAGACAGTTGCTGGTTTAAACCCACCCTCAGCATGTTTGCTACTCCTTGAGCAAGGCCCTTAGCCCCCAGCTCCCTGGGTGCCTCAACAGGTGGCTGCCCTTCGTAGACAGTTTACTCTACAAAGAGCAAGTTGAGGGAGGCATAAAAAGATGATTTCCCCCCTGGGATCTATAAAGTATCAATTATTGTTGTTAAGATGCTTTGGAAAGAATCAGGGAGAGTTTTATTCTGTTTTAGCAGCAGTCACTCTGATACAGCCTTCCTAAGCTGATTCTGACCTTGAATATTCTAGTCTTATTCAGTTTAAACAAACGCTGATTATACATAGGAACTTGTGACAAACAGAACTGAAGCTAAACCATTCACAGTACACTTCAGTTGGCTCCTATTCAAATTAAAATGATTTAATTTGAATAATTTTAAATGATGAAAATTGGTTCACAAATTCTTACATTCACCGTTTCTGGGTTTGTGAGGTCTGATTTTGGGTCTCATGAAAATGCAAATTTGCTTCATGCATACTTCAAAAACAACATACACCAGGAACCAGGATTTTTGAGGTCTGTCTTTCCTACACCGAGAGTTTATATGGTTATATGGGAATTGGTAGCTGTAGGACAAATCAATGCGCCTGTCTATCACATCAGTAAAAATACCAATACACACCCCTGACATTGATTCTTCCAAAATCTTTTACAAAACAAGGCAGGCAGGCAGGCAGATGAGCATGCTTAATGTGTTTTTTTCACATAAGGCAACACTGTTCTCTAAGTTGATTTAATTTCTGATTATTGTCGAAAATCCTCACATGGATCCCACGGAAAATCCTGAAAACCAAAAAGGATTCTGATATAATCTCAGAGAGCTCATGCAAGTTTGCCAAGAGTGACAGGCACAGACTGCACTCAGCCAATGTGCAGAGTTCTGCCATTGAATATTAAGTTCAGTGGTATGAATACAAAAGCCCACTTAAGTCCAGAGTCCTACATTCACGCACATCTTTAGTCATAGCGTTTTCATTTTGAATAAAATATAAAGTTAAATAAAACATGTTTTGTAATTTGAATAAAATGGACTGCATAGGAAAGGTCAAATTTCCTATATACATCTATCAGCATTTAAAAATCATTGCAAAGAAGCAACTTGAAATGGCATTAGCTGTCATATACTTAAAAAGCAATCTGAAAATCAAAACAAACAGTTAGCTTAAACCCAAGAGAGTGCTGTAAGGAGGAAATGCACATTCTCACAAATTGAACATTCGCGGATTCGCTTATTTGCAATCCGGCCTTTACCAATTAAACAGTAATATTTTTGCAGCTTGCTAAAAGACCAGAGAAACTTGCAGAAGACGCCTCAGCCGAAAACAACAGGCCTACTGAAAATTATTCTGATGACAACAGATCATGTAGGATATACATATTGGTGATAATAAATAATTTTTGTTAGTGTAAGTGCATACATATCAAATGCCTTAATGTGGATACGTCACACATCCTTGTCTCTGTAACCAGCTTCATTCACGTGTTACAGTAGCTGACCTTCTGACCATGGAATCTCGCGCTTCTTGCAGTAACTTTTAAACTCTTCA